CAAGCGGAGCTCAGACCCGATCGTCTCCTGCCACCTGGCCCTGGGGAAGAGCCCAACGCCGGAGGTGGGGGGTCCTGGGGGGGAGCAGAGTCCACTTCAGAGGTGACACTTAAGCTCAGGCTAAAAGCACCAGCATTCAGGGCCCTGGCTTCCATGCAGGATGCCAGTGCAATTAGCAGCCACTTTCTGGAGCAAGAGCCTCTGAGAACCGGACTTGGAAGCACTGCCCCTGGGCCCCGAGGTCTGGCGGCCAAGGGCACAGTGCCAGGGAGGTTCTGGAAGGGCTGCTGGGGGCGGTGGTGGCCACGGAGGGGGGCCTTCCGTCCAGCCTCCTCAAGTGGCAGTATGCTGCCACTGGCCCAGGGCCGCAGTCTAATCTCCCTCAGCAGAGTAAGGGGGGTGGCGGGAGGGGGAGAAATCTGATCTGAGGGCTACCCACACACACACACACACACACACACACACAGGAGAGAAGTAGTGAGTTTTCTTTTTAATGCAAAATGTTGCAATACAAAATGACGTGGAGATTCTCCGGGACACTGGAGGGAGGGGTGAGGAAGAGAGGACGGAGTCCGACACGGCTCTTCCCGGTGGCCCCCCCCCCCCCCCCCCCCCCCCGCCCCGGTCACGCTGAGGGCAAGGGTACGGCCGCCCGCTCCCTGGGGCAGCCCCCATCCGAGGGTCGGTGCTCTGGGTCTGGGTCACCTTTGGCCTGAAGTTCGCTGACACGGGGCAGGAGAGCGGGAGTGAACCTTTGTGGCTTTCACTCATTTTGTTCTAGAAGGATTACTCAAGGTCTGGAGTTCCATGTGAAACGGAGGGGCTGTAAGAACGCGCTTGCCACTGGCTAAAAAAAACCCCAAACGAAACAGGGCCTCTGAGCCACACCTGGCTCTCACTGGAAGAATGCGGAGCAGGAAACACAGTGGGGGTATAGCTGTGTGAGGGGGGGAGAGGTCCGAAACCCAGGCGGGCTCCTCAGACCTCCTCGTCCTTCCTCCTCATCTCCAGCTTGTAGACAATCTGGTAACCGTCATCCCAGGCGTAGAGCTGGCGCTCCC